CGTCCGGGGTTCGCGTTGCCGCACGTGTCACCCCCCACCCCTGCAGCCATCGCACGTCCACTTCCCCCTCCAGAGGTGGGCAAAATTCTCGTCCACGTGGAAACTTCGAATAACGAATAAAAGATGAACACTCTTTTCATCCGTTATTAGTCTGATGAAAATCGGTATTTTAATCGCAGAAACGAACTGTCTCGCGAAGATGACAAAATAATTCGTAACAGAAAATCGTACGCGTTTGCATGATGCAGAATACAATTTTGCCCAACTCGTACACGACGAAAACAAACGCAATGTCTCCGAGGGGGTGGGAGTGGCGCTACGGCGAGGCCAGGGGACTCTGGCCGATCGAATTTCGCCTAATAATAAAAAAAAAAAAAAAAAAACGGTAGTGATATAGAGTTATCGTAGAGATCGCTAATGTATTTCACTCGGTGCCTGTGACAGCTAAGCTCGCTATCTGTTCAAGAACGAAACGATTGACAATACACTGTTGAGTAGAGAGCAACGTATTCGGACCCTGTTCATCCTCCCTTACGCGGCCATCTTTTCTTTCCTTTCACGACTCCTCGTCATCTGTGCTCGAACGCGTCTTGTTATCGGTTTATCGTTCCTTTACCAAGCTTTTCCTCGATGCTCGCGTGTCTCGAGAAGATCGAGACTGTGGCTCCTTTTCCTTTAACGGGTCCATTAAACCGAGATCACGTTTGGTGTCGGGGTTGCAAGGAGAAGGAAGGTTAAAAAGGAAATCTGCAAAAGTGCATCGTCCTTGGGGCACTGTGATTATTACATCGTTTTTTAAGGCAAATTGGAGGAAAGTGTAGCGTGGGTAATTTGGTAATTGGGTTATGAACTAATCTCCATTTTGTCTAGATGAAGTACTTTAAGAGTAACCTTGTTTTCCAAATGTATTGCCTAATTGATCTCTTATAATATCTTTCTGAATTGCAAAAATTAGAACTTAACAAGGTGGTCGCTATTTTTATGCAGCTGGGAACATTCAGAAGACTAATATCGATTGAATGGAACACTAAGGGATGATTCTCTGAACCTCTGACCCTTGAACTAACTACTTCGAAACAGATCGCCTTAGTTATTAAAGGCATAACGTAGAAATGCTTCAACAATCACAGTCCTAATAGTTTGGAATACATTCTCATTGAATCTTTTGCAACAGCGAAATATAAATAAATCCTCAAGAGTAGATATTTTTGTACCCCTGACCTTTCTTCGAATTTTCGATACTCTTGAGTTTCAAATTATCTCCAGAATTCTTTGGTATTTTACGAAACGATATCCCTATCACCCAACCTCGCCACGTGTTCGCTGAATTCTCGAGTTCAATCAAGAAATTTCTCGTTTCGGTTCGGCCCCAAACGTGATCAAACTCTGTGAAAGATGTTCAGCTGGTGGACATGTTAAACGTATCCGAAAACGATTTCCCAAAGAAGGTGGATTACCGTTCGAGTAAAAATGGTCCCCCCCCCCCCACTCCCCACCCCTGTGAAACGACTCGGGGAAAACGTCGTTTCGATTTCCAGCCGCGATGGCGGCAGTCACAAACGTATTTTCGTCTACAATTCTTCTCACTGGTCGGGTAAACACGTTCGACCGACTACGACACGGCTGTTCACGGGTACCACCTGGAACACGTAGTATTAGCATGGTGTGAAAACGATAGTGACGCTAGATGAATTAGCTTTAAGCTTCTTTCTCGCTAAGAGGGAACCTATTATTATAACGAATATTTACATACATTTGTATTATTTGTAAACTAGCGCTAATACAAAACTCCAATTGTGCATCGACACGCGAAACAAGAACCCTCCCCCTTCCGGTTCCCATTTGATCCTGGCTCTCAACCTTGGGCCCCACGTGACCCACGGGGGACGAGCAAATTGAAAACACCACCCGCCCTTTGAAGCCTCCTCAACCCCCGAAATTCCCAGTTCCTGTTCCGCTCGATCGAACGGACGACTTTGTGAAACTCCCTGGAAACTTTCGTTTCTCTTTTTTCAGTCTGTAATTCTGCTCTATAACGTCTCGTCTATGTAATCTTCTCTGTATATCGGGCCTTTCCTCCAAACGAAGTAAGACGAAGAAACGATGATGAAAACGAAAAAAAAAAGAAAAAAGAAAACGATAAACGAAAACGAAAATAATAAGAACGTGGAATAAGAGAACACATTACCTATCCTGATATGCTTCTCATAGTGTTGGATGGTAACGTTACAAGACAAAAAGGGAAAGAAAACGTTAATTGAGCATTGTTATCTATGTAATACAACATAGGATGTTTTGTATTATATTTTCATAATAAATAGACACGTAGAAAAAGACGTATTAACCATACCAGCGTTATGTTTCAATCACTTTCCTTCCCTGCATCCTAACTTCGCGCGAAGGGGAAACTGACTACTCTCTGACCAAGCGAGAGTTAGGTCTCCGGAGTGTTGCACTGTTTTACTTTGCATCTCATAAATGGTTTATCAGAACAAAATTCGACATCACGGCAATATCGTTTAAATTTTGAAAAGAAAAAAACAGTTTTCAACTCAACTGCATTCGAATTGAAAAGTATTCACTTTAAACAGAAGAAGGTCGAAGATTGAATTGAATTTATTTTTAATTGGTTTTTTAAATGGTAAGCTTATCTGTCCCACAGGAAAAGGAACAGGTACGTTCGTGTTCATAAATACTTCGCCAAAGTTAACTTTTCTCTCAAGGTTGCACCCCAGAATTCACCCGGGGCTATACGAAGTCCCATGAAATATTCACCAGCAGGAAGTTCTACTTTATTACGTACTCTGTCCAACTTCCTCCTACGTTATGATGCTAAGTCAACTGTTTCGAAAGCAGTTACTGAATGAAACTGTATTTGTTATTTCGTCATTGTCGGAGTTACGCAACCACCTTCTTGTTGATGCTTCGATTATTATTAATTGACAATTCTGAGTTATTCTGAGAAATTAAATATTGGTAAAATTGAATACTGAGAGCCTTCATAATTGATTAATTCTTAGTGTATTTATTATTATTTTTTAGTGGTATTTTTGCTTAACTTCTTTGACTAACTAATTATATATTATTTATATGAGTGATACTATACGAGCCTTCTGAAGGTACCACAATTCTTTTTCTCTATTACAAAAAAATGTTTTATATTATTTTGTATAGACCAAGAATCTTTATTTGTCTGTTCAATTTAACTTTGCATTTTTAATTAAAGAAGGTTATGGACCACCCAAGTGGTTCCAGGCGGAAAAATCAAAAGTAAGCGCACTCGCATGGCTGCCAAATAGGTTGCATAAGCACGACACGTGTTGAGAAGTGTCGAAAGTGTTGCATAAGCCTAACGCCGATGGGTTCCGATCGATTCTGTAGTTCAAAGCAGACAGCGAACTCTTATAATGACAAACGACGAGGAAAAGCGTAGCAGCTGAGGAGTCTCAGGGATGGATTCGTCGAGGGTTCTCCTAGAAAAAGGTCACGTTAACACCTTCACCATTTTAAATAACAAAAAGTCACAATTCCTTCTGTTTTAAATGGAATGGTAAGGTTAAAGTACATTTTTCGTCCAATTAATACTTTTCAATATATAGGGAGTCTTGTCTAAGAGGTGCTCACTCGGACCAGAGCCATTAGAGAGTGAGTTTGGTGACATTTAAAACGCAATGGATAAAAATATGAAGTTCAGAACGTATATAACGATTCTACCAATAAAAATAATTCACAGTGATGTATTCTTCAAATAATTGAAAGTGTACACTCTGAAATACTTGAAACGCCATAATTCAAATGGCAAGAGGCATGTTCTATCGTTTCGTATGATTATGGCTGGTCGAAGACACGATCATGGGATTTATTCCAGTATTATGCTCAGCCTGAAACGCGACAGATGTACTTCGAAGAAGAGCTGCGAACTGCTTCACTATCGAGGCACGTGTTATCTAATGGGTCGCGTCTCTGCGACACAAAAGCTCACGAAGGGAACCTATACAGCCGGTCACGTATTGCCTCTTCCATTTTAAAGTAACAACTTCGATACCCTTTTCCGCTGGCTGACAATAAGAGCTTGCACGTGTTGAATTCAGGGAGGCAGTCGAGGGGCATCGATGAAGTTCCAGTAAAAAGCCAGCGGAGGCTGCGTTCCGAGCGCCAGGAAGAATATGGAACGCATGAAGAACGTGGAAGCTTGTTGGTTGGTCGTTGTTTAAGTAAAACTTCATCATTTTCATTTCAGATTTTGAAATTGCTAGTACATGGAAATACTAAGTGCACAGGGTGCATTTATAGTGCAACCCAAGAAGAGATGACTCACCCTGTTAAATGATGGAATGGAAATTGTTTTTATTTGGCTTTATTTCTTAGCGAGAATATTATCGATGGATTGGCGAAACTCTCCCGATGAAAATGAGCCCAAACACGGCCTAGTTTTGACTATTTTCAATTTTATGTTATCGAACTCAATTTTACGTTAGCGAACTCAATTTTGAAAATATTTTTGCGCGCAATTGAAAGTAGTCCGAGAAGGGTCGTGTTTGGACTCATTTTCATCGGGAGAATATCGCCAATTCATTCATGACGCCCACACGACGATACAATGACAAATATGACATTCTTATTTTTGACAGATTTTTTTTTACATAATTGACAGATATGTGTCACGTCAACTGACATGGAAAGTCACCTCACCATGTCAGCTAACCAATATCAACATAAACTACAAGTAACGTTATACCTAAATACAACAACACCGTCAAAGCACGTCACGCAACAATTCACACATCTGCGAGACACCCGCGTCTATATGCCACAATAATTCAACCATGTCTCTCATCATGATTAACGCGAAAGCGTAATAAAGGACGTCGATCCAACGACAGGGGATAATTTATAATTCAACTGACTAATAACCGACTCGTGAAAAATATTCTTTCCAAATAAAGTTTTAACGCGGAGCTTGTCGCATCTGGCGTGCAGTACGCTATATAAAATCGAAATTGTTCACCATTCAGGTTGAAATTACTTATACCAACTGCGCCATACGTGTCACGTCTTCAATACTCAACTCGGTGCAGAGATGAGGAGCACCATCATATTCGCCATCGTTTTCCTCGCGACGGGAGTACGATGCAACCATTTGACGCAGGTCGTGCAGACAGACAAAGGGCCCGTTCAGGGCATAACGATGAAAACATTGTTTAACGATCGCGAGTACTCAGCCTTCCTCGGGATTCCCTTCGCGAAACCACCGGTAGACGATCGCAGATTTAAGGTAAGTCTCGCGAAAGTGATTTTGTAGAATCGTCCTGCTAGTTTTTTTTTTTTTTAATCGATGGGGAAAATCTTCGAAGGACATCTTCGACCTTTCAAGGGGAACATCAGGGATTGCATAGGGTTCTCCACGTCTATGTCCTACGCATTAGGGGCATTTTCGGGGACGTCAATGACACAGGTTCCATAATTTTGTTAGTAGACATCGAGTCCAGAATCTTAAAGGGGTGTGCCTTGAAAGCGAGATGCAGTATTATTATCTCATTTTTCACAACTTGTTCTTCAATAGACAAAAGTCGACAAATGATTAAAAGATCGGATTTTATTGTGCTCTTCTCTATTTTTTTATGAATGATGAACCTAGGACCCTGAAGAAATTGACCCATGGACCAAAGTGCTAAACGCTACAAGTCAGGCACCAGCATGTGCCCAAGGTTACTTCACTGGGCCTATAGGGAAGGAAGATTGCCTGTACCTAAACGTATACGTCCCAGGTGTAAGTATTCCCTGTAAGCGCGATACATCACTCCTACATTTTCGTTTGTCACTTCATACATACATCAATTTAGATTTGATTCCTCATTAAGTTCTCGCCCATGCTTATCAAATAGAGTGCACATTTTTTTAAATATTATTCCAATCTTATTTACTTAAAGATCAGAAATATAGACAGAACAAATTTTTCAATATTATTCGACTTGAAACAAATATCGAATCCTACAGGTGGTACACGAGCACGTAATATGCTACCACTGAACAGTTTATAAAGAATCGACAAATACGAGAAACTCGACACGTTTGCATCGATATATTTGAAATATAATACGAACATTCGTTCGATGCAAACACCTACGAATGTACGGTTAATGTTGCACGATCCTTTCGATTTTCGACAGGGTGGATCCAGTGGCGGTGGCGACTTGAAACCAGTGTTGTTTTGGATATACGGCGGTGGATTCGTATCAGGAGTGTCTTTCCAGGGCACGTACGGACCCGACTGGTTTATAGAGGAGGACATAATCATGGTTGCAACGAACTATCGCCTCGGTGCTCTAGGTATGAACGAAATGGCCTAATTCTCGCAAATTGTCTCGTATTCTATATCATCCTGTCTTATATTCTTTTTTCCCCATAGGATTCCTGTCACTTGGTCTTCCTGATGCATCGGGCAATCAAGCTCTGAAGGATCAGAACATGGCTATGCAGTGGGTGCAAAAGAATATTGCAAATTTCGGTGGCGATCCTAATCGAGTGACCATAATGGGTGAGAGCGCTGGCGCTTGCTCGGTGATGAATCACGTAGCGTCGCCCATGTCGGCAGGTAACATCGATAGTTCCTTTGGTACATAGTAAACATCAATCTACACGCTACCAACCAACATTCGTTTCTTTCCAGATTTGTTCTCGCAGGCCATCATTCAGAGCGGTACTGCCTTGGCTCCGTGGTCGTTCAAAACACCAGCGCAATCCCTCGCGATAGGCTTTACGTTCGGCACCATGCTGGGGATTGTGACTCCGAGTAACGAGGACTTACTTAAGAGGCTGAAGCAAGTTGACATAGCTGATATCGTGATGGCATCATTGGAAATGACCGCCGCCAGTGCAGTCGTAAGTTTCCTGTTATTTTAATGGCTTCAAACAATAAGTTTTATCATGTTTACAAAAGTTGATCTCAAGTGCACTCGTGTCAATTTAGATTAACCCTTGTTGTCGAAGTTCTTTTTAAGATAACTCGTCCATTAACGATGCTTTTGCTAGAATTTCTCGGTGACAATGATTGAAAAATGTTTCAATGTAACGAAATGATTAAGTGTCGTTGCATGATTCATTGTTTTGTTAAAGACACCCATCATGATACCGTGGGGACCTACGTACGAAACTAACACTGATAACGATTTCCTGGACAATTGTCCTTTATCGTTCATGGAATCTGGAAACTACAACCAAGTTCCTATATTGATGGGTTACAACAAGAACGAGTCGTTGCTGTTTGGAATTGGTAAGCATGAATATCATAACCTGTTTCGTTCAATAATGTTAAGAAAAATATGATGCTCAGAAGTATACTAAGAGGGATTGTTTTTTTATATTGTAAACAAAGTCTGCCACGTTTGTGACAGAAGATAAAACATCGACCATGACACTTTCAGTCACCTAGTTTTAAACACCCTCACTTTGAGCATCCCCTATCATTTATCAAGGAACCTATCACCCTCCTGAATCGCCTTATTTATCTAGCTCAAACATAGATGATCTACACCAAACATTTCTGAACAATTATTCTTGTTGCCTGCAGCGATTGAAACGATGCGGGCGGAGTTGATCGGTGGTCTGGACACCCTCGATAGGTTATCGTTTGGCGCGACTAAGCTTTTCTCGAAAATGTTGGGGAAAATAGCCAATGGCACTGAAGACGAGATATTGAAGGTATCTCGTCGATTATATTCACATACACTCTATTTCACGATTACACACCCTCGTTCGTTTCTCATGATTTCCTTTCCTATCTTTAGATAGCTGACTTGTACTTGTTCACCGCGCCGGCTGATCTGGCGCAAAGGGTTTTGCAGAGGAATAACAGTGGCAACCCCATTTACTATTACCGATTGTCGTACGACACGGAGCACAATTTCCACAGATTCCTCGAACCAAGAAGAGGAGGTGACTATAGTTTCTAAATAATGCTATTATTCGATATCCTAATATTCGATTGTTTCAGGTACGGCTCACATGGACGACCTTCCTTTGCTGTTACCTATGTATGTCATCCAGCCCACTGATCCTCAAGACCCCTACAATGTGTACTCCAAAAGGCTCGTCACACTGTGGTCCAATTTCATCAAACATGGGTAAGCAAACTCACGACAAAATTAAAAACACTAGTTCTCTTGGAAGAGAGTTAGATAGCGATTTTGATCGCGACTAAGGGAGACTTTAGGGCACTGGCCCTGAATTACGTGGTTGCAATGTATTCCATCGCTTATCTCCTGTATCAAGGTTCCAACAATGTTTTATGTTTGCAGAAATCCTTCACCAGGCAAGAATGCCAGTAACGACACAACGTGGAAACGATCAGGAGATCAAGGATTGCAGATAGATTTTGGCAACGAAGACTTCGTCATGCACGACCGTTTGATGAGTCCAGAGGATGAGGAGTACGAGAAGGCGTTCTACTCTATCTTGCCAGTCCTCCAAGGCTGCTTGAATTCTACAGACAGCAACGACGGCAAGAATAAAGAAACAAAGACTGAAGCACCAAACGAAACGAAGAATGAGGGACCAAACGAAAAGAAGGATGAAGGACCAAACGAAAAGAAGAATGAAGATCCAAACGAAAAGAAGCATGAAGGACCAACTGAAAAGAAGCATGAAGGACCAACTGAAAAGAAGAATGAAGGTCCAAACGAAAAGAAGAATGAAGGTCCAAA